CAAATGTCACACCCTGAGCCAATTCTGAAAAGCACTTGAGCTCAGGAATTAACCCAGAGACAAGCTGAGGTCATTTGTGCTGCTGTGTTATGATTCAGTTCTATCCTGTTTCTTTGATTTTCCTCCCAAAAGGTTTTCCTAAGAACACCTCCCAGTCACGTCACCTCTTATTATCTGGAGAAACCCATCTAAACTCCAGAATCTGCACACAGCATGGTATTCAGTAGGTGTTTCAATCAATGCCTTTTGAAAATTGAATGCATGAATAAATACAATAAAATAATGATTAAAAAGTGGTGTGCCAAAAATGTTTTTAAATTTCTATTATTCATCGTATTTCTTGTGACTTACAACCATTTATTAACAATTTTTCTCACCCTGAAAGAGATTATAGTAGAATTTTCCAAGACAATTTTCAGAGGAATTAAATGTGATAAAGCATATAAATTCCAGGACCTGGAATTTAAATTCTAATAGAGGCTATAAAATAGTTATTATTCTTTACATTTAAGCATTTTTCTAAATCAAGAGTTCTTTCTTCTATCTCTGTTCCAGTGTATTACCAGGCGAAAATAAACAGAAACACTTTTCTTCATATCCCTAAGAAAATATACAGGACAGTAACAATCAAAAATGTGAAAATAGTCATGATGGAAACAAGTTAAACTTATTAAACAAAACTATAGTCACAGACTTCTAGAATAGAACACACTCAGAGTGTAATACAATAATAATAATTTCAATAATGGTTGAGCACTTAAAGGGGCAACTTGCCCACCTTCCTTTATGCAGGTAACACTTAAACAGCTGAAAACAATCTGTTTTCTAACTAGGTCTAATAGACACAGGTTCAGGAATACTTCAAGATATGTCATGGAAGTTTTCTTGGCTGTTCTGTTACTTGTTAGAACCAAGAGATTCCCAATTAAGCAAATTATAATCTATTTCTTGAATTTTAATTTATTTCAGTCAATTTGGCCTATGTAGTAATGTAGGACTACTGATCTCTGTCCTTTGAGACTTAATTTAAGTACTTTAATTAATCAAAAAGTGTTTTACTGAGCCTTTTGCCAAGCATTGTACTGGGCTTGATGACAAAGTTTTCTTTGTGGTCCTTCTGGATGTTCTCTGACTTCTTTGGTGTCCCAGAGTGTTTTTCATCTTTTCTAATAGTTGTCCTATTTTCGTCTTTGTTGAGCTCCTTTGAATTAATTCCAGTTTCTCTACAACTTTCATCAATACTTCAGGAAAAGCTTTGTTATTGCCAAATATGGAAGAAAGATTATTACTTATGATAAGTCAAACTGCTATTAATATTTTCCTGAATAACACTGGTTTTTAAGCTAATCACTTTCTGCTGCTGAATCATCCAATTTATACTATGAGTTTAAGACATTTTCCCCCTTGGAACTTCAGCATGCAACATTTTTCCTTTCTAAGATCTAGTGTAGGGTATTGTTCTTCATTGTAAACTTTCATTTAGATTTATTAAATTTCGTTCTTTTTATTTAAATATCTTTAACATATTTGAACTAAATTCTCAATTTTTTTAAAGTTATACTTTTATTACCCCCTACCTTAGTTCATTTCAACCCAGTATCTAACATCTATTTTGAGTCAGGCACTATACTATGTATAAAGGCTATTGAATGGTAAATAGGGGCCTTATTAATGTAGAAATGACAGAAAATTTGTTAAAGACCAAGTGCTAAAATAGAGAAATGAAGTAAGTCAGAGAGCATTTCCTTGACCGGGCTGTGGATAGCCTTCCTGGTTGATACACTGCTATATTAATCTGGGTGAGTTAAATGAGATGAAATAATGAGCAACACAGGTGTACTTCATTCCAGGCACAAGGAACTACACAATGCAAAGTTTAGAAACATGAAATGGTAGCTATGTTTGGGGGCATTAGAAATTTTAACACCACTATAAAATACAACTGGAAAAGTGGCAAGAAACTTAATAACCAACCTGTTATAAAAACTATGATGTGATCTTTGGCTGGCTGAGGATGCACTGTTTTTAGCATAGAAGGCCTGTATGGATTCCATATTTGAGAGTTTGTGTACCTGCTAAAATTTACATGTAACAACCAAACTGAGGATTCCCAGAATTTCTGTGATCTGCTGTCTTACATGCACAGAGCAGTTGTTAAGGTTGATACATTGTATCAACTTGGGGATTCTAGAGATTTGGCTAAGTGACTCAGCAGTTCTCCATCTTGGGATGAAAAGGACGTGCCCTTCCAGTTCTAGGATGTTGTTCATTGTGTCAGTGTGAGTGCTACATGCCTCCTGGGTGGGGGTAGCCTGAATACAATATAAGGGAGAGAAAGAGGCTGCTTGCTGCCACTCCTCCCTTTTGCTCTTGTTGCTTTGCTGTTTTCTGCTGCCATGAACTCTTGCCCTCTGCCATGTGCCATTCTGCCTTAGAGCCAACTGAATATGGACTAAAACCTCTACAAATTGCAAGCTAAATAAACCTTTTGTTCCTTCATTTTGGGCACTGGGTATTTTGTCTTAGCAACTAGAGAAAAGTAACTGAGACAGCAGTGAACATTTTGATCCCCAAACCTGCACATTCTCAGGAAAGATCAGGTAAAGTGATGCTTTGTCTTTTTATTTACTGCCATATTTTATCATTTCTATGTATTTAGTGGATTACTTTGATACTTATGTGGCTCCAAAGCATAATTTTAAAATACCATGGAATACTTAATTTCTAACACCAGAAGTTGGTGACATGCTTTATAGAGAAAATACCTAGAGCTGCCCTTAGACAAGAGTTAAGATGCAAGTGAATGTGACTTCAATGTCAATGAATCTTCAATGTTAAATAAGATGCCTTTGAAGAGAAACACACAAAACACAAGATCACATAAGGATTAGTTGTCAAAATATTGTTACCAGTGTTTTTCAGAAACCTAATTATGAACAATGGTTGAGCATGTAATAGTTCAGTATTTGCAGGAACTTTATTGAACATAACTTACTATGAATAATGAGAATCCACTCCCTATTGTGCAAAACATCAGCTGGTAAAGAAGAAAGTAATTAAAAAGGCAAAACTAACAAGAGCTGCAACTCCAGCTAAAGCATGACAGTGCCTAAACTTCTAAATTATAACAATATGAGGTGTAGCAAAAATGTCTATTCCAAAATTTGAAGCCATTGTTACCATTGCCATATCCCACCAAAATTTGACCACGGCAGCCAGTGAAGTTCTGGAATGAAAATTACTATCTGCATTCAATCTCTTTATACTACACATATTCCCACCAAATAGGACATACCTTACATTTGTAAGTGTCCCATCAGTCTTTACAGGTGGTGACTACAAAGGTGGTGATATTAATGAGAGAGGGCAGAACAGCACACAGCCAAATGCTACATGCTTATCTCTAGTGGAGAAGCTATTCCTAGGTTGTAAAAATACATGCTTTGTGGAAATGTCCAATCCACTTAAATAAACCTTATGTTCTTTGAACTTTCAATATATATGGCTTGGTAGTATTGTGAAGACAATACAGTCTCTGCCCACAAGAAATTTATAGTCCAATGTATTATTGAAATTTTAAGACAATTATTTACTGTGATACAAGTTAAAGTGGAAGGTACAAATAAAGGGATTAAAACAGTGGAATTTTGGGTAATTAAGACTGTATTTTGTAACTGGGACAGTATTACCACAGCTGCCTAGAAAGATAGTGTTCCAAATGACTGTGGAAAGACCATGCCAAAAGTCAGGAAAACATGATATACATTAAGCATAGAGAATATTCAGTTTCGTTTTGGTATAGACTTTGTGAAAACAAGAAGCAGGAAATGGGACTAGAAAAACATTACACTCTTAAGTGCAATTGTAGGTATTGGGGCAAGGGAATAATGTGAAGAACACTCAACTTTAAGAAATTTTATCTTATGGCAGCACATAACAAGAGGCACATAGAACAACTGAAATTCTAGATATAGTTTATGAGAGATTTTTGAGGCCTGTAAAAGGTGAGGGTGGTAGAAATGGGAATCAGGACAGACATGAAACTATGCAGAGTTTACATCCATAGGTAGCTAAGCATTCTGGTCTGAGTCCTTAGAGAGATGAGTGCGCCGTTCTTGGTCAGAAAATTCAGGGAAATCGACTGATTGCATTCCATTTTATACAACCTGAGTTTAAAGGGACAGTTGACACTTAAGAAGAAACATAAAAGTAAATAGTTGGTAAACTGAGAATGGTTCATGAGAGTGACTAGAATGGGGTTACTGGGGAAACATTTGCCCCCAAATAATGTTAAATCCTACACAGTTGAAAGCAATCAAATTCCATGTTGTTGCTATAATTTGGATCTTAATGTTACCCAAAGGAGCAGGTGTCAGAGGATCATTTGGGGATCATTTGATGAGGTGGGGCCTCATTGGAGGAAGTCAACTTACCAGGCTGCACCTCTGAAGGGAATATTGGGACTGTAGCTCTTTCCTCTTTCTCTTTGTTGCATGTCCACCAATAGGTGAGCAGCTTTATTTTAACTTGTGCTCCCCGCCATGGTGTTCTGCCTTGCCACAGGGCCCAAAGCAGTTGACCATGGATTGAACCCTCTGAAACCATTATCTACAGTAACCCTTTTCTTCCCTTTAACTTGATGTAACTCAGTTTGTTGTCACAGCAATGCAAGTTAACTCATTTATGAATATAGATATGGGACTGCAGAGTAAACAGCAAGTATGTGTTACTATAAATATGCTCAGATATATCATCCCATTGAACTCTCGGTGCAGTGCTGCACATTGGCAGCCACAGAATTTAACAGAGAAGAAGAAATATTTCATTTAGAAGTCGGGAAGAAACAAAAATTTAAAAATACAACCCCCCCAAGTGATTGAGAAGAATGAAAATAAGATTTGAGAGTGGTGGAAATGACTCTTTCCCTGCTTTTTCCCTTAATTCAAGTGCTTTTGAAGTTTAACTTGATCACTTGTATAGGAATTTAAACAGCTTCCTACCTTCCAGTTCATTCCAGTGTTCCATTCAGTTGCCATTCTGGTCTTTTAAACCTTCAGATGTGGCCTTTTGTACCTCTGTTTAAATTTCTAGCAGCTCCTCCTCTGGTAGCTCTTATTATAATATTGAAATCTTCTCTTATCTCAGTCTTGCCATCCTGGACTCCAAGTTCACTCTGGAATATTTAGCATTTCTTATGTTAACAATCAAGACCTATAAAATATCTTCTGGTGTTGTGATTGCCTATCCCTTCCCCAAAATCCTAACAAAATTTTAGGTAGCCTACAAGCTCCAAATCAAGTGATGTTCACTGAGATCTTTTTCTGATTTCCACCACCAAAGCCAATGTTTAGCTGTATGTTGCCCAAGTAACCATCTGAGGATAACGCCAAATTAATAATCTCAGCTGAATCTCTGTGTCCATGGGAGCCTTTCAGGATTGACTTTTTTTGAGATTTATGCATAAAATTTTGCAAATATAAATTCAACAACTTTTTGCTTTTTTGAAAAGTATTAGAACATTCATAAATTTAAAGCTATTTTGATGTTAAATTCATTGAGAAGACATGATTGAACCTTACCCTGGCTGTATCTGAAACATGCAATAGTGCGACCACTATTTTTGCACTTGTTACTATGTTGACTTATTCAGGAAGAGAGACATAAAGCATGGTAGCTTCAATAAATATTTACTGAGCACCAAAATATGCTTTAATATCTATTTACTGTGAAAGAGACTGCATAGTTCTTAAATCAGACTCCGTTCATTATATAGACACAATCAGATTATGACTGCTGTCCACAGTATTATATAGATATTCCTGGCTTTGCACTAGGCTTATGTTCCGATGAATCTATCAATAATTTGAATATCTGAGGTTAAATATGTTCTTATTATCCATAACCTGCTGAACATTATAGCTTAGTAATGTGATATGTGAAGAGTAACAGGCATTTGTGCTCATAATCATTTTGATAACTAGGAGTTTCTGCTTTCTGCCACTGCCCAGTATTATAAGCATATCTCAGTACAAATTGTGTACTTGGGAGAAAACACCTTAATCCAACATGCAAAGTATAAGCTCTACTAACTGTGCATCAATTTCCCACTATCACAGAGTCAGGAAATCCTAAATTGGGTCACTGTAAGTTGAAGACCACCTGTATTTGAATTTAAACAACTGCATGATATGATTTTATTGAATCACAATAGTGTTTAATTTGGAGAGAGAGGGCTTGACTCTCTTTACAGTTTCAGAAAGTAAATTGTAACTATTATACAATGGGTTTGATCCTGAGGCCAGCTGGCTAACTGTCCACCAGCAGAATTAACTAAGTTGATAAAAATGATGCTATATTAAGAAGATACAAAAGAGACAAAAGAAATTTTCAGCCTGCACCCTACTAGTCAAAATGAAGCTCCAGGCTTTATTACAATGCTATAGTTTTGGGCTGGGGATTTAGCTCAGCGGCAAAGCGCCTGCCTGGCAAGCGCAAGGTCGTGAGTTTGGTTCCCGGTACCGGAGGGGGAAAAAAAAAATGCTATAGTTTTATTCTTTAGACAAATTGTAATGCAAATATATATAAAAATAGCTAAATTACTCAAGACAGTTTGTACATTGCACATTCCAGGAATTTTTCCAAGATAGCTTTTGTTGTCATTGTTGTTATGGAACTGGGAAAAAATTAAATACATTTGCTAGCTTAAGGAAATAAACTTTCTAGAAAACAAGTTAATTAAAATATTGACCAACACTGAAGAAATTTTTAAAAACCTTATTTTGCATTGGAGAAAGACTACAATACAACTTGCCAACATTCAAATATTTTTCTACGCCCAACCTTAAAACACCCATCTTTCCTATCCTACTCTCCATCCCATTTCTTGCTTTGTATAAAAGCATTTTTAGTCAGCCCTGGGATAACTATTGTTTTTGTGTCTATTGCAATTCTTGTGTCATTTCCATTATGAAGATAAGTGGATACAATTACAACTCTGTTACTAACCCATTTTGCATGCTTTGTTTCATTTTTTTCCTACTTTTTCTGCTCCATTATAGATAGAAAAAAAATCCTCATCTCTCCTAAAACTTTATGTTTAAAATCTATTTTGAAGATAGATTAATGAAGATTACTGTCCTATTTATTTTCTACTACGAAATTGGAGTTTCTAATGGATTCATATTTTATACAATTTTTCAGTACATTAAAATACCATTTTTGCTATATAAATATAATGTAAATGTTACATTTAAAGTTATATTCTATATCAACAATATATAGTGTTATTTACAGATAAATTCCATTCTATTTTTTGTATTACTCTTTTTGAAACACTGCTGACACTATCACCATATTATATTTTTCTTCTTCAGACTGTTCCTAGCATTAACCTTATACATTTTAGAACTCAATTTCATTAAGATTATTTAACCCCTACCGTGGTACAGTATAAGGTATTGGGTAGTGGCTATCACTTATTTTCCAACATAGATGAGTCTCAGTTTAATACTCCCACTGAGCTACACTTTTACCTGAAATGTAAAAAGTGACTAAAATATGTAGAATCAAAAAATAACAAGTGTTTCTGAATCAACAATCCCTGACTTTTTTCTAAACTTCTGAGTCAGTGACTTTAATCCCAGTACATTACATGCGTTCACCTTCCTGAATCTCTCCAAGCTATGTCAACCTCAAACCTGGTTTCTTCTTACCACTCTTGCCCTCCTAACAAGTGCTGTTAGAGAGGCTACAGCACACTTACATAGACTAGGTGAGTGAATATCAGACATTCACTTCTCACAGATATAAAGGCTGGGAAGTCCATGACTGAGGATCTAGTGTCTAAAGAGGGCTCTCTTTGTGATTCACAGATATCTGTCTTCCTGCTGTGTCCTTAAAGAGCAGAGAGTGGAAATAAGCTCTCTCCTGTCTCCTCTGATAAAGCCATGAATCTCATTGTAAAGTTTTCAGCTTCATGATGTCATTACCTCTGAAAAGTCCTGCTTCCCAATACTTTGCTATTGGCTATTAGAATTTTAATAAATGAGATATATTTAGTGTCTCCATAAGCTCCCAGAGTAGTCCTTCAAGAAGACACAACATGTTGAGAAATAATTGCAGATCCTTGGTTTTCTATTGTCAACGAGCCATTGCCACTGCCTGGTCCTCTTTTCTTTCATGATTTATTAATTTCCTGGTGAATTTTTGATACTTGCTACTCCATGTGTGCTGAGAAGCCCCTGGGAGTTCTCCTTTTCATTATTTCTTCAGTCCTTATAGCTGACATTTGCATCTGTGTTATAGAAATAAAACTACTCATCACATGCCATCAGTACTAAGATGGGAGATACTATTGTATAAAATCAAAGGAGAATGAGACAGAAAACACATCTGATCCGGTGATACTGACACATGAACAAAATGCAGGCAACACAAGTCATGAACGGAGCATACTCCACAAAGGTAAGGAGCTTGAGAACGTTCAGTTCAGCGAGTAAGAGAATTCTTCACTCCCATCAATATAAGGAAATAAATGAGAGAGTAAAATAGGTCTACGTAGAGCAAGTTGGTAAGAATCATAAAAATTCTAGCATGGGAACCTGAAATATAGGCTCAAGAACATTGGACAGAAATCAACAGGAAGTTTCGTTATATAAATCCAGAAAAAATGAGTGCACTCCTAAACGTACCCTCAGCAGAAGAAAGTAGTGAGAATAATAGAGATGCCCGGTACAGACTTGTGGGCACAAAAACCTAGAGCTAAACCTGTTCCAGGAGAAAGCTGATGAACTGGATCCACAGTAAGTGTGGAAATAATCTGCGCTGAAGAACAAGTAAGATAGGTGATTAGAGTAAAGTGCAGGGAGTGGAGCCACACAGTGTCTTGGTGCAGATTCTTTCAGCTCTTTCCTTGCATCTTTGCATCAACATATATTTACGTCTTTCACAAACTTCTCTTTAGATTCACAAGGGAACTCTTCTCTAAAGTTACCGATTTAAGCACTTTCTGCAGGCAAGAACTTTGGTCTTAAAAAGTCTAAGGAGAACTTCCTGCAATATTTTCTCTGTTAAGATCTGAGTTTTACATGGCGCATACTTACTATGATCTCTGTCATTTGCATATGGCATTTTAAGGGTCATATACAAAGACAAGACAACCAGAAATTTATAGAACATGGTACTGGGAAATCATCTTATTGATTTAGGAAGAGTGAATGATGATCACAATTCAGATTCACTCATAGCTCTAAGCATGAGAATAGCGGGGAATGCCTCTTTTTGCCTCATTTTATTTATTTGTTTTTCAATACTGGACACTGTTCACTAGGGTTAGAACATCAAAATTATTCAGAAAAAGTAAAGAGGTTTGTCAGAAAGTAATAGTTTTAAAAGGTTAGCAGTTGTAGGATATTTTATCTAAATAACTGAAGCTCAGCACCCAATATTTAATGAACCTTTATTTGCATAACACAAAATTTTATATTATGAAAAATAAAGTTAATCATTCTACCTGGACTACAAACCACACCTTTTTCTACCTCCTCTACGAACGTGTATTTACAGTGTGGTGTCACACCAGTTGCTGTCTTTCTGCTTTCCATTTCTGCTCTCTTTTCTCTTAAAAAGATTAAATGAAAGTCATTCTTCTACTCTGTGATGTTTCCATTTTAACTCTCTCTGTTTTTTCCTGACAGCTTTTAAATCACATATCTTTCATCATCAAAGCAACCTTGAAGAAGGCATGAGTCATTTAGACCTCAATTTTCAATATAAAAATGTTTGACTAATGAATACTTAATCTCTTTTGGTGACAAAGTTCTACAATTCTAAAATATGAGTTTTTTAAAAAAGAAATAATATTTTAGACAAATTAGATAATTTTGAGAACCAAAATTGCATTAGAGAGCTCCTTTATTTCACAAAGAAGGAATTATTGTTTAGAACATATTATATGTTTGACTAATATAGTTTTTCCTCATTTATTAATGATTTGCCAACTGATGACATTAATACATAAAACTTGGAAATTAGGCATCACTACCTAAAATGTTCATAACAATTAATCATAGTTCTGTAAACATATATAGAAAAATAACACTCTACCAATATACTTTTGCTCAATGTATCTGATATTCATATACACAGTAATTGGTCCACTGAAGTTTCAGTTTGAAAAATGTAGGTGTTTGTTGTGTTATGAAAGACGGAGGTGTAAACATTTTTCACTTATATATCCAGTTTACTGGATAGAACAAATGACCAACAAATGTAAAAATGTCCAGCATACATATTGCATATATCATGTGTCGTACACTGCCCACACTATAAATCACTTCATTCACTCCTCACAACCTGCTGAGGTATCTATATTAGGAATAAATAACCTGAGGCTGGAAGACAGCAAGCAATGTTCTCAAAGCATGTGGGAAAGTGGGCATGCAAATCCAAGATGTGTAGTCCATATACTTTGCTTTAAATGGTGTTTTCTTTGACCTCACCATGATCTTGTACCTCTAACCATCTGCCAGGTTTACTATGTCTTCTTTACTTGACTCGTAAACTGTGTCTCCTTATAGCAGCAAGGCTGCCACCTGAAATCCCACAATAAGACAAACCTTTCCCTCAATTCCAGGAGAGAAAGAAGAGTTCCAGGAGGGGAGTTGTATCATTTCAGACCCGTCACTCTGGCCATGGAAAATGTGGTACCGTGACTGGCTAGTTTGCAACCTCTAAGCAACACTAACTCCCCATGATCAGTCCTGTTACAACCACTTCAAGGTAGTTTTAGGGTATGTCAGAGCTGTATATACAGTGACATTTGAGTTAGAATCTGGACTGAGCTAAATAAAAACTGAGGTCTCTGAGAAACAAATTTAACATAATTCATTGGAATTCTTTTCTCCATATGATTTAAATGCAAAATTTGAAAACTAAAGGAAATCTCAACCAAGCACCTTGGCTTCCCAATTGACTGGGTTGCCACAAGCTCTTAAGGTGTGGTTTCAGTAGTTTTTACAGCTTTGAACCTTTTATATTCTTAAGGAGAAAAATCTTACTTGGATTTTATACCCCTGGAAATTACTGAGAAAGAGAGAGATGAGCAGAGGTTTTTAATAGGTGTTGGGACAATTTTCAACTTCTAGGTTGAAAATTCTTTTCTTTGAGAAAAGAATCTAATAGTTGTATTTTATCCTAATTATTCCCAATATCAAATAATGTTCCTTTAAATGAGACATGACAAACAGAGAAAGAAGATGCTCAGGCTATATACATTTTATTTATATCATCTATAACTGAATTATGTTTGCTAGAGAATAGTGTACCTTTTAAATGAAACACTTTAGGTAAAGAAACTAGACCACATAAATTAATATAGATTTTTTTTCTTTTCTGTAAAATTATAGATAGTGGAAGAATCAGGGATCAGCACTGGCTTTGTGTCCAGCTTGATGTATGTCACCATGTACTTGTTACCAAGCATTGAAAAATAGTAGACCCTACATGAAAAGGCAGTAGTTTAAAAAGTATGATTTCTCAGACTAGACTATCAACACTGTCTAGGAGTTTACAGCCAGCCCAGGCCTACTGAGTCAGAAACTGTGGCAGTGGGCCTCAGTCGTGTGTATTAACAAACTCTCCTCGTGACGCTGATGGATGCTGACATTAAGAACCATTGGAGTAGGGAATTTCTCATTCTTTTTTTCAGGGCCTCCTGACCAGGCCAAGTGAATAAGGGATTGCAGTCTGTATTAATTAATATCTTTAATTTATGTTTGTGATTAACACAATTACAGATGGTATGCTTCCAAAACACAGAATATACCCCTAGATCTTTGACAGTACAGAAAAAAAAAAAAAAAACTAATAACAACAAATCAACAAACCGAAGTTAGCCCGTGGCATTCCAACTTGACAAGGCTGCTGTGTCCTCCATGTTTTGCCTATGGTATAACATGTTTATCCCTTTGCTGATCTCTGCTTCAGTGGCTTATCTGTAAATTCAGTAAGATATTTTTCTAGATTGATTTCTCATTGGATAAATCTCTCCAAGCCTCTCCTAGTGCGTGCAAAATGTAGACATTTAAACATTGCAAGAGGTTATTGAGATCCAGTTTTATTGACTACTCTGGGCATTTTTCACAAATGCCCTGTGGAGAAAATATTTATAACTTTTCTTTGAGAGTAAGTTCCAACATATTATTCACAAATGTTTGATTGACTACTACAGGTTAGAAATCTTTAGTAGATGATGGACACTAACCTGTCCAGGATTTTGAAGCACTCAGCTGGATCATCACTCATAAAAACTCCCTTACAATCTTTCACTGACACAGTGTCTTCAGTTTAGAATCAATACATCACAAAGGCCTATGACAGAGAGACAGGCCTTACTGGTGTAAATTTAGCTTGGTTTTAAGAGTAGAGATGATATATTAGCTTGTATTTCACCTGTAGTTTTCAGGGAAAAAACATGCTTACATATGCGTCTTAATAACTCACTAATTCACTTGTAAGATGTTCAACATTCTATACTATGCTGTTGAAAATGACAAGCATGAGCCTCATGTTCTCACTGGGTCTATATAACTAGGTCTTTCTAATTTCAGCTACTCTGGCTGCTAGTAATATTTAGTTGAGTCACTCCAAGAGCAATATTTAAGTATAACATGCTGTTCATTTTTAACTGTTTTTGCTAAAATGCCATAGTATTTTTATTTCATCCTTCAAATGCTAGTGCAGAAGTTTCCTTCTGTCATGTACTTGAGGTCATGACAGCCCTGTTGATGTAATGGTTTGTAAAATCAATTTTTGAGCATTTAACTATGTTCAGAGTAGTGATTTTAGAACTAAAAGTACAAGCCTATGATCCTAGGACTTGGGAGGCCAAGACAAGAGGATTGCTGAGCTTGAGGCCAGCCTGGGATACATAGATCCCAGCCTGGGATACATACATTTAAGGCTAGCCTGGCCTACAGAATGGAACCCTGTCTCAAAACAATACAAAAAAAAACAATCAAATAAACAAACAAACAAACAAAAAAAAAACAAGAGTGGAGTGGATTCTGTGTGGAAAAATATCACCAGAAGAACAGAGTGACCTGAATCTGGCTTGAAGTTGTAGGTGGTTCAAAGTCTCCAACTGTTGATTATGATGTCCATATTCACATAAAGACTAGGCTGTCACCTAATAAGGACTTTGTTCCCTCCTGGGCATGTGATAACTCTTCATTTTTTGATACCTTCTTGTCCTCACCTATACTCATATTCGATCTCCATATTTAAGCTCTGGGCATTTATACTTTCTTTCTTGGTCTTCTCTTTCTTCCCAGAGTGCTTTGGACTTCCCAGCCATATATTCATTTTACCATACAAAAGATATATTATCTCCTTTTGTTTCTCTATAGCTCTTTGTGGCCAGTAGTGCGGAACCTGCTAACTGCCTCAAACTTCAACCCCAGTTACAGTCATACACTTTATAATGACATTGCAAGTTCACAGTGGACCACATACATAACAGCAGTCCCATAAGATAAGTTGAAAACTTCCCATTGCTTAGGACTATCATCGACATTGTAATGTTTTAGGTAATTTGACTACTCACATATTTGTTGTGATGATTGTAGAAACCTACTGTACTATCAATCTTATGAAAATATAGCTATACAATAATATCTGATAATGATGATGAATATTATACTATTGGCTGGCTTACTATACTGTATTTTTATCATTACTTTAATGTGTACTCTTTACTTAAAAAAAAAAGAAATAATATTTCACTGTAAAATGGTGTAGCATGTCACCCTGATAGCAAGCAGACTCCTACATCTCCTCTTTACCAAGTCTCTTGACTGGACCAATAGGCTGTGTATAGAGACTGGCCTACACTATTTGGGTTTGTGAAAGTATACTCTAAGATGCTTATGCAATGACAAAATCGCCTAAGAACACATTTGTCAGAATTTAACCCCTTCCTCAAGGGACACAAGATTCACCTACTAGCTGCAAAACTGCCTGCTGTACTCCCACTAGAGGGCAGTGAAAACTGAACCTCCTAAAGACAATTGGTTAGTTTTTGTCTGAATGATCACGTGCCTTGAGGCAGCTTTTATGAGAAGGCTTATCCTAGGAGTGTTCCTGAAAACGTACAAAGGGTTTTAGGGAATAGGAAATGATGCAGTAATTTGGTCTCAGTTTAGAGAGATAGTTCATTCCAAAGATATAATCAGTGAGCCTTTTTACTTACAGTGTCGAGCCTATGAAAGCCATGGATGGCTTGAGTATACTACCAAGTGGTTCTGAGTGCATTCAATGGAAACTTCATTCAGTATGTTATTTAGTAATTGGCGGTGGCCCCTCCCTTGACCACATCCATTTAAACAAAGGATGTCTGTGACAGCACTGCCTGCCAAAGCTGTGATGTAACAAAAGGTCCTTCATTGAGGTTGGCTTGGCAACAATGACCTCTGTGGTCTGAGTGGAAGGGAGGATTCAAGACTGCCAGAGTCTTGCTCCTGAAAACTGACATTTGAAGAGCAAATACACTGAATATCTTCTCCTCAGCCTTGGGAATTTAAAGTGAAGACTTACTAGAGAAAAGGCCCAAAGAAGCATGTAGATGCACATTCCGAGGGACCAGAAAAGAATGAGAAAGCTGATGTGCATGAAAAGAAGATGCAGGCTGAGACGGGGTAAATAGCTCTCCTTATGGTGAGCTCCAAGATTTTCTACTGACAGTACACATACTTCTTTAAATAACAGCATATGCATTCTGAGCTACCTTTTGTTCAAATACCTCAACTGTTTAAAAATACATTTGAAAGGTAGTTAATACTTCTTGGATCATTTTCTACCTGGTCTCTTTTCTCAGCATGTTGAAACTTATTGGTGTTCTCATTCTGCCAGATGTCTTTCCTTAAAAATTAGAACTGACATCTTTCATAGACTCTTCCTTTTCTGCCCATGATGGAATTTTTTTTTCCCAGCATTCTGCTGATGGCTCCTGTCCACTGTCCTCTCGGCTGAAATAAAAAAGACTATTTACACCACAACAATCAGATTTGTGTGGTGTACCTCAAAGTGATTTCTGGACTGGTGATTCTCTAACAGGTAACTTGTTAAATCCTTTTTCCCTTTTGCTTATGGCTCCCGCATTGTCTCCTCTTTAAGACTGACATACACTAAGAGCTCCATCAGAAATTTCACATTCTCTTCTCAAATCCTTCATAGGTTGACCAAGAGCTATAGATATTTCACCTTACTTTTCATAGGAAGAGAAACTAGCTCACTTTCCCCTCAAGGCTCAAGATTAACAGCAAATCCTTCCTTGCTTAACTCTGAATAGAATATCTAAACCCAAGAGTAATGGTCCATGAAGCATTATCTTGTCACTTGTGCCCTTCAAACCCACACATGCTCCACTACAGAGGTGCTATAGGTAGGTAATACCTGGTCATACATCATTGCTTCTTCATACCCATTGTCCTAGAGGTCAAGTATATGAAGGTCAACCTGCTTCATTCATCATGGAGAAAATGTAAGCTAAAATACTATTGCAGTTCACCATGTCATCTATACTTGTTTCCTGATTGCAATGTCTGCTTTGTGGACTCTTCACTCAGCAATCAGAAAAAGTCATATGTTGTAGTTTTGGTCTCTTCTCTTTCTTCCAGATTTGCCCTGCAGTATCATAGCATGAGATGAAGAATAAGTCTGTTGATGTGCACCAAGGTGAATAAATGCAGAAACATGTGTTGAAATAAGGAAAAATTCAAATGATTGAAAGAGGATAAATAATTTGAAGTAAGTTAATTTGAGTTTAGAGAAGGATCATCTGAATTATACAATTTTTTTTCTTTAGCAACAGTTGTATAAGAATGCATTTACTTTGTTTCAGTGGCTTTCTAACTGCTTTATCTGCACTCATGATTCATTTACCATCAGAGTATTTCATTTTTCTCCCAATACAAATGAGATAAAATCATTTTTTCCTTAGTAACCTGCAGTGGCTTTCCTTTTTCAAGCAAAACCATGACCTACACACAAGAGCATTTCATCATTTCATCATTTTATCATCAGTTAACATTATATGTAGACTGCGCCCATAATATCTCTTTAAAATGCAAATTTCTTCACCTACTCTAAGCCCAAGCTAACCCTTTGGGGCTATCAGTGCCTGCTGGATGATTAAGTTGATGCCCATGCAGTTGTCTATACTGTGCGCCTATCAAGTTTTAGTTTCTTTCCATTTTTTTAAAATAACAAATTGACAAATTGTAGCTGTATATATTTATAAGGCAGAAAATGCTGTTATGATTATTGAATATAATGTGGAATAATTAAATCAAGCTAGTTGACACATCTCTGACTGCACATACTCATTTTTTTGTGGTGAGAACATTTGAAAATATTATACTAAGTGAAATAAGCTAGAAAGACAAACAGCACATGCTCTTGCTTATGTGTTGTCATGGCCCAACAACTGGTGGTCAACTTGGGACACCCACCTGAACTGAATCAGCATGGTGATGGATGCGGAGGGCCCACCTGGAGGTTGTTGACAACAACATAAAAGGGAGACCTGGAAAGGAAGAGGTGATGCTGTTGATTCTCCTGGAGAAGCTTGTCCATGCTGGCTTTTCTGATACAAACTCAGCCATTCTCATCATCGCAGGAACTCAGGACTTGACTATTGCTGAAAATAGCTGGGGTTCTTTTCCTTACAGGGGAGCTCTGGCCCTTACCTTGAATACTGCTTCCTGAATCCAGTGCAGATCCCTCAGCCAAGATCCAGACCAAATATAAAAACTAGACCTTTAGGATTGTGGAACAAGGTTATGCCATCCAGAGTACAAAGTTATACCTCATTTGAAAATCAATCCCTGAAGTGCTACTGAATTCTAGTGAAAATGAAAAATCTGACCATAAAATAATAAGTATCTATCTAAGCTGCACTCTGACAGACTTAACAAGTCATTGCTTAGGCAGACCCAGAAATAACCATCATTGGATGGTTATCTTCCAATAACCATCATTGGAAGAATGACACTGACATATCTAAGATCAAGTACAAGCAAGAATAAACCAAAAGCAAGCTGGCCAGAGAACCATTTGACTTACCACTGTCATAGTGATACCTTCACCTAAGCTTACATATATGGTCTTCTGGGGAACCATTTATTGGTAAGTGATGATGTGGGGACATTACGGATTGTGTCTAGATGTTCCCCCAAAGCGTCATGTGGTCATAGCTGGGAATTTTCAGAAGTGGCTGGATCTAGAGGGTGTGATGCTGGGATAAAGTGTGTGATGCTGGGATAAAATGTGTGATGCTGAAATTAAGAGTGTGTGATTACTAAATTAGTCCACTGATTGATTTGGCATAGTTCTAGGTGTAGATAATGGGAAGGCCCATCAGGGGGTGGGTGCTACCTACCCTAAGGGTCTGTAGCCTGGATATAATATAATGGACAGAAAGAACTCTGCTGTAATCACTTGCTGCTTGCTGCCTCCTGCCTTCCACCTTTCACACTATGAACTGTTTTTTCTCTTCTGTGACACCTCCCTGCTGTGCCACCCTGCCTTGGAGCCAGCCAATTATGGACTGAACCTCTACAAACTGTGAGCCAAAAGAAACCTTTCCTTCTTTAACTTTAGGTGTCAGGTATTTTGTCTCAGCCATGATAAAAGTAACCATGACACCATATCCTTGATGTCACACTATCTCTCAAGGAGCCCAACTAGGCACATGTTGGAAAGTGGATAATATTTTTTTTCCTAAAATTCCAGCAACTCATTCTGACTGGAATAGTTACTAAACTTTTAGATTTGGATTTTATTTTTTTTACCTACAGAACCTCTGTCAAAATTTTCCACAATGTTTGGAGTACAGTCATAAACTTCTATCTATCCTCAGGTCAGTGCATAGAAATAGAAGCATATCCATAATTATGAGAACTTCTATAGTCATTTTGCCTACCACAGTACTCAGAAACTGCAGTGTCACAGATCATTGGAGCTGTTAAGGAGCAGCTGAAGCTTCAGATTTCCACAGCATAAATTCCATCAGAATTCCTAATAATCATTCTGCACCCTGACCTCCCACTCAGGATCTACCTTTCAGCCAAACTAGCTCAACATGAATACTACCCATGTAACCAATGCTTTCTTTTATTTTTTTAACTCATGTAGCTGAAGTTACCTCATAATGAGATGCTAATATACTCTTCATGGACATTATGCTTAACTTCCCAATATGTAATCCTCCCAGAAGATCAATTTAAATAATGACAGTCAGTACAATCCTTTGTCTAGAGGCCAATTCTTTTGCTATATTCATTTTTCTACAGTATATTCTTAGTCTAATGACTTTGTGAATAGTGGGTTCACTATGCACTTGTTTGTTTCAATCTGAAGAGAGTGCTGTAGACACCTTTCCCATGTATCTTACTCTATGCTAATTTGTATCACTCATATGAGTCTGTGCTCTTACATGCAGAACATTTGCGAAAAGTTGAACTACTCACAGATATGCAGGAAGAAGTGATAGAAGCCTAGGATTCATGGAAAAATGCTCCCCCAAGGCTCAGAAAAGTTGCCCAAGGCAGATGGTGTCTTATTTGCATGTATTTCACTTACACTGTTATTGAGAAGCCTTGGAATGAAGCCTGCCCTTAAGTTTAACTTTAGAGTAACAAGATACACTGAGCTGAAGGTTTGTAGATATTCTGTTTTAGGAGGGACTGAGCAGAACTTGGACTCTTCCAGTCAGATTCTCCTTCCTCCAGGGTGCTGCATTCCCAGCACAACCTCCAGTTATTCTTGAGAACTCTAAGATATATAGAAATGAGAGCTAGTTTGACTTAGTGTCAGCCAGAGAGGAATCTTGGTCTTCTGATCTTCACCACTCACATCACATTCTAAGCCACACTTTCATCTCTCTAATTCTGCCCTTGATCTCTAAATCAGTTCCTTGCAGGCAGAGTGATCTTCTTTATGAAAATGTGGACATAACTCACTACTCCTCAAAACCATGCAATATCTTCTTATTGCCTTAGAACAAAATCCATCATCCATACCAGTACCTATAAGATGGTGTATGATCAGTCCACCTCACTTTCTGAGCTCCTCTCCATATCTACTCTACTTTCTTCATTCTGTCCTAGCCCCTTGGCCTCCACAGTGTTTGTGAATATGTCAGGCTCATTTGTACTTATTTGACTTTGGATTTGCTATTCTGTGTAGAAATAACTTTCCTCAGATATTGACGTGGCTTCCTCTTTATTTCTGTCTCCTCTAAATCTCACTTTCTCAAGGACTCCTTCTTGGATTACCATCTCTGTTCCCTACTCAGAAATTCTCTTTTATTTCACTTATGAAAGTGTGAGAAACTGAAAGGGTAAATAAAATCCAAAAGGTACAATAGATATAGAGAAAAGGAAAGAAACCACTCAAAATGAAAGAACAACTTGGATGGGGAAAAAGAGAAAGAAAGTGAAAAAAAGATAGGTATACAGTATAAACACACCCAAGATAGCTAAAAATAATTGTACTACTAATTTCTATTAGTGCATTGAAAGGAACAGTTAGTGTTCATACTGTTCGATCAATTTTGCATGTCTGTACCCGATAATCTGATCAATTACTTTGAAATTAACAATATGCAGTATAATAATCATTTTTAAATTCCAATCATCTTGTTTTGAAATTCTGTATCATTTCTACCGGGTTTTTTGCTTCTTTAAAATAAAAAAAAACCTCCTTTATCTTTTACTCTAGTTTTATTTTCTTCATTGAACTTGTCATTATATGGCTGTACATATTTTTGATAATTTTAACAGTTTGATTCTCTAAGTAATAGAATACAAGCTCCATGAAAATAAGATTTTTCCTCTTTCCTCTTTCTTTTTTTTTTGAGTTTTATGTTAAAATATGTAAGAATGTCTAGGACAGTACTTGTCATATTATTACATGGATATACTAAATATATGTTAAGTGAATAAACCATTTAAGAGTCTTAGTAAGTTTCTTGATCAATGGCACATCAAGGAATGTGTTTTAAATCTCTTCTGAGAAAAGTTCATTAATGCAAGGTATATCCACAAGAAAAAACAAAACTGTCTCTTATTTCCTTTGATATGGTTTTGTTAGAAATGTGAACAGTCACTTTTGAATCATCTGGAGGAAGGAACCTATGAGAAGACCCAAGAAAATAAAGAGATGACAATAACTAACATCCTTGACAATGTTCCTGAGCTGTGAATCACCACTACTTGTACCAGCCCTTCTAGGGATACATTATTGGGAGAAGGCGTAAGTGTCTAATTGATTATGCTGGTGTTCTGTGGGATATCATTTCATTCATGGTTTCATTTCTCACAGACGAAAGCAATGTAACTGATGCTGATGGATGAGCCTTTCCTAGCTGTTGCTATTACAAAATTTAATATGTTCACTCTTCAGAGTCTAGATATCAGTAAAGAACCATCACACATAGTTGATGAATTTCAGATTTCATAGGATGTGTAGAAATTGTATTTAAAGTAGAATACACCTTTATTCCATTATTTAAGGTATTTGATATCTTATTACTTCTGACTAAAAAGTCCATACCTGATACAGCGTAAGCTACACTCTGAAGTTAATAATTTTTTTTATGATTGCTATTTATTCCTCTTTCCTTATGTCCTAACTTCTGTCTAACATTTTCTTCTTCAGTGACAAGGAATTAAATCTCAGAAAAATATTTAACTTTGTTTACTATGAGAACTAGTATTTGGTGATTAGTACTGTTTCTTTGTGAATGTTTTCTGAGATTGTACTTGGTGAAATATTTCCTCCATTTCTTTTATTTCTATAAATAAAAAATAAATATCATGCTTATTTCCCTTTTCAAAAGTACAACACTAACTCTTGGAATCAATCCATACAACTTTATCATCTTTCAAGTTTTTTAAATTATAAAATTGAAGCTAGAAAAATCTTTCTCTAGAATTCATAAAATATTTTATACTATTCACCTTATTTGAATTAATTCTGTTTGAATTAATTCTGCTTTCCTACAAATTATCCTTTGAAAAAGATTACTGACACCGTAAAAGGAAAGCAGCATTGAGTGACTCTTTGTAACCTCATTCACAGTAAATAAATCACCAAATTTAGCATTGTGATTTGTTTTCCCCAACATATTGAACTTTTACTTTTTTATGTTTACATTTCAAAATACTCATTTCTTGTGTCAAATTCTATTAACAAAAGTATCCAATAAATCTGTTGTATTATTTAGAATTAATTGAATATCTTTTGACTTTTGTCAGATTTAATTATTTTATATTATTCTGTATGAAAATAATTAATAGAGATTACTATAAGAGGATGTATTGAACTTATTTTGAATTTTAAGTTTACTAGATTAAGTAAGAGGAAATCCAAGGATAAAAGAATATAGTAATGAACCAGAAATCTGAAGGTCAGCTTCTCTCTTTGTTAAAACCCAAGACAAATGAGTGAAACATGGCTTTTATCTTCAGAGTTACTCATTCAAGGACTTATCTTTGAATATAGAAAAATACTATGCCAACTCCTATTCAAAGAAATTTGAATATGCACATATGAGACAGTCATACTTCTTTTAGGTATTTTATAATATAGCTGAGCAAATAAAGTATATGTGAAGCAGTTTATGTTTTCCTGAGCTATATACACTAAAACAACTGTAGAAAATCACAAAGATCCTTGTAGTCAGGTGACCAGGAAAGAGTTCAGGAAGGGAGGTGTGTTTTGAGTTATGACACTGACATTCTTTGAAGTTACAAACAGCACGGATTCTAGAGTAAAATTGCTTCTGTGAAAGTTTCAGCCTACTCGGTATGTATCTGTAGATGTAACAATACCTATTTTGTAGGTCTGATGAAAAATTGTAACAAATTATGAAACAGGAAGCCTTAGAACAATGTTTCATGTTCTGTTGCTTAAAAATGTAGATCATCATTTTAGTAGGTTCGTAAGTATAATGGCTGATCCATTGTTTCAACTTGAAAAGTGTAGAAGATTAAGTAAGTTACTCACCAGTTCTGTATTCTAGTGGGTAGGGGACGTGCCGTTATCCCTCTAGGATGTTGTTCACTGTGTCAACTTGAGAAGTTTAGAAGTTTAACTAAGGAACTCAACAGGGGGCCAGGGTCCTCACTTTGTAAACATCCTCATCCTGTACAAGTGGCAGGCATAGAGATGGTGTGAGTGTTACACCCGCCCTTGAGGGGCAGCCTGATGACAAAATAAGGGAAAAAAGGGGGTTGTTCTCCTCCTTTTTTGCTCTTTCTACCTTTGCTGTCTTCTGCCTCCTTGAACTGTTGCCTCTATGCCATGCCACCCTGCCTTGGAGCCAGCTAATGATGGACTGAAACCTCCACAAACTGTGAGATAAATAAACCTTTCCAACTTTAACTTTGGATTTTGGGTATTTTATCTTAGCAATGAGAGAAAAAAAGTAACTAAGACAATAAGAATAGCAAGCATACCAGCAGGTAGAACAGTCCCAAGACAGGGATAGCTCCAAGAACAGATATCTTCAGAAAAACTCAGTCAAGCTATTGTGTTAGTTTTCTAGGGCTGCTGGCACATATTCCAAAAACAAGATGATTTAAAACAAAGTACATTACTTGCTTGTAATTCTAGCACTCATACCGAAATAGAAGGATCACAAGTTTTATTTCTACTTGGGAAGCTTAGCTACTTAGTGAGACCTTGTCTTAAAATAACAGGGATGGGGCCTCTGGAGATGTGGCTCAAAAGAAAGCCCCTGAGTTCAGTCCAGAGAGGGGGAGAAGGGAGAGAAGAGAGAGAGAGAGAGAGAGAGAGAGAGGAGATGGAGAGAGACTGATTCACTTTTTAGAGGCCATAGATCCTGAATCAAGTAAGTGTTAACAGGGTCAGCCATTCTCATTAGGCTTTAGGGGAGAATTTTTCTTTGCTTCTTCTAACTTTGGGTGGCTTCTGTTTTTTCTGCCTCAAGAATGTCAATCTTTGCTTCCATTTTCATCTGTCTTTCACCTGTGTGCCTTTCCCATTCTCTTCTTTTACAACATCTACACTTTTGTTACCATCTATTTTAGTTACTTTTATCATTGCTGGGACAAAATACCCAACATCCAAAGTCAAAGGGGGAAAGATTTACTTACCTCACATTTTCTGGAGGCTTCAGTCCATAATTAGCTGGCTCCAAAGCAGGCTGGCACATGGCAGAGAACAGTTCAGGGCATCCCCAGTGCAGCAATAGTAACAAAGTAGAGGAGACAAGACTCTTTCCGTCCCTCATATGCATTCAGCCTATCTGCCTAAGGTGGAACACAGCACTCACACCCTTAATCCCAGGCAGAACTAAGCCAAACCAATCAGTGGACTGATTTACTAATCACACACCTTGAATCCCAGCACCACACACTCTAAATTCAGCCACCTCTGAAAAAAGTCTAGTGACCACATTAGACTCTGCAGGTACATCTAGATGCAAACCATAATGCCATCCACCCTAACCCAGTATCTCTCTTCATTCAAGATTATTAACTTAATTACATTTACAAAGTTGTAATTGCAAGTACCCCTTTTCCAATTAATACCATCTTTGCAAGTTCCAGGGAAAGATTTTTAGGAGCCTGCCATTCAGTCTAACACACTTATTTTAGGGATTGAAAAAGTACATAAAGGAGGCTTTGAAAAAGAAGTAGAAAACAAGATGTGGCTTTCAGTAACTCGACACGATATTAATAATTGATTTTATAGGTATTTGTGAGGCATTCAACAAATTGAATGACAAGAACTATGAGTTAGAAGGATTAATCTGGTGACACAGTGTGGAATTTGATGAGTAGGAAAGGAACTGGAGACAAAGGACAAGTTAGGAGTAATGCATGAAAATCTACAGAGAAGGTAAGGCTTGATATGGTGTCCTGATGTGGAAAAACGGAAGAACATACTATAAAGATTTCAGTAACATAATGAGTAAAAAATTAAATGTGAGTGTATACGAATATGAGAAAAAATAAAGGTACCTCTCATGTTCTAAGCATGAGTTACTCAGAGAATTCTAGTAACATTTTCAAAAGCACAGTTAAGTCCAGAGAGGTCATTATCTGGGGTGGAAAATGATTAGGTTTCCTTTTATGTATGTGTGTGCATGCCTGAATGTGCACATGTGTGTGTGTGTGTGTGTATGTGTGCAAACTACATTGAATTTTATTGAAGATTCAGAATTATATCCAAGCAAAGAAAAAGGATTTAAGATAAAAATCTTAAAGGAAATTTTGTAATTATTGTACTTGAAATAATGAGGTTAAATAATGTTCTTAAAAGACTTTAGCCCTGAAGGCTTTGAGAGACTTCATCCAGAGATGATCCTTAAAATTCCAAATATGGTAATGTTTTCATTTGGAAACTTAATTTTAAAAGTAGGAAAAAATGTAAGTTAAGTCATTCACCATTCAGCCAAGGGTCACAGTCATCCACACCAGACAAAATAAATGAAACAACCTGCCTCTCTTTCCATATATAGACTTCAGATGTCTAACTTCAATTGGCTTTGTTTCTCAGTTGTAGTTACTTTATTTTTAAAATTTATTTTTAAAATAAAAGAAGGAAAACATACTAACAAACAGACAGTGACTGTGGTATTTTATTATCTGAGAGAAAACATTCTGCCAACTTTCAGGTCATTTTGATCCATCCATCATCTTGGTATAGGTTAAGCTTGACAAAAAATAAAAATAAAAATTTTTTTTCTGTGTTCTTGCTCTTGCTTTTCTTCCTTACAGACAGAAAATATATTGACTTGCCATATTAATATTAGAGCCAAATCAAACTTTAGAATCCATTTCAATCACAGTAGCACGGAGATATGCTTTGTAGAAAGCCTTAAACCTTCTTTTAATAAAGACAATGTCCTCTTTCCTCTCCACACCATTGTCAAGAGCTGCACTGAGAGAGACAAAATGATCGACAGGGAGAAATAACAAATATAAAAATTAGTAAAGTATAGGTAACTAAAATAATGGCTATGCTTTGGCAAAAAGAAAGAAAAACAAATTTGGATAGATTTTACCAAAAAAGAAATACACATGCAAGCAGGTTTGCACCAATGGCTCTTTACTAGAAGGTTTATGGGCAGAAAGGACGCTCTCCAGATTAATTCTTCTCAAGTGCGATTTGAGGGCTATTGCTAAAAAATCAGTACAGTTCTGTGATAACAATGTTTTTCTCCAGTAGGGTTCCTTCTTCTGTTGCTACTATAGAAATAGCCAGAGAAGAAGGATAGCTGACTAGTTTGCAACCACTATGTTACCTGAAATGGCTAGAGGAGTCGCAGCCTTCCCTCATCTTGGATCATTCTCCACTGAGAAGAATCTCAAACTGATGGAAATCAGGAACCACTTTGCTGCTGCAGTCAACCTTGGAAAGGGTGAAATGAACCTCACCTGTACAGACAAGCAAGTAATCCTTGCCTGGTTTTCCCATCCTTCCAGTGCACTGAGAGTCTGAAACGTCTTCGGCCACTGAAATTGTTTTCACTCTATTGGGTCCCAAGAAGGTAGGAAACTGTGGAAAATAAATATATTTTGTCTTTGACAAATGTGTCATCAACTCATTTTGTCAGAGTGTGAATTAGATGGTGTGACACGAATACACCTTGTATGTTGATAGGGGATGTAGCAAAGAGATCAGGAAGGCAGTAGGTGTCCACCTCAGCACGGCAGGGAGAAAATCCACATGAGAATGAGATGCCGATTCAGCTGTGGACTTCAGTGATATAGGAAAGATATTCTTCTGGATTCTAGATTCCACAACCTATGAAATGGAGATTATTATCATCAGTATCAGAGTGGTTGCAAGGCTTGACTGAGAAAAAAATTTTCTGAAACACCCTAAATGCCCAGGAAAAAAAAAAAAAGTTCCTTTCCACTTTCCTGGGTTTGAAGAATGATTTATGCTTAATGAGGACAAATGTCTCAGAAACTACAGAGGGGTATAACATTATCATACATTATCATACTGAAAGCTTCACATTTTTAAAGATATAACATGCATCTGCAACACAGGAAACTTCAGAGAGGGAGGAAATGACCGATAACTTAATTATACCCGACCCCATGGGTTAGCATTATAATCGGGATCTTATATACAACCCAGAGGGAAAGATGAGTCTTTTAGGAGAAAAGTCTTAGCTCAGGTACTATTAACGGTGAGTCTTTTTGACCTTCTTACTTCTGTCCTTCTTACTTTTTGATCCCTTGACTTTTAAACCATGCTGTTGACCTAGGATGACTGATGAGGGTATCTGTGTCCAAATCAGCTAAGTGCCTTGTCAACCACTCACATTTAGTAACTGCTCTCTGAACTGCCATGTCCCTCATAGATAGAACAGGGGTATTTATAGCAAGTCACATACATTACAAATGAAAGGCTTCATAATTCTATCATTAAACAGAACCTTAATATTGAATGAATTAGGTTTTTTCCTTAGAATTTTAGAAACCAAATAATTTGTTCCACATGATATTTATTTTAATAAGGCTGATTTTTAAGGGGAGAGGGTTTGGGCCTCGGGGATAAGTTAATAACAGAGGTGTCTCTGTACATTGGTTGAATCACTCATGTTTTTAAATCTATTTCGACTGGTTAATAATTAGACAATTATCCATGAAGGCACAGCATTATGAAAGGTACAAATAACCCTGTTCTGGTGTGGAGAATCCATCCTGTAGTCATTTTCCCTGTGCCAGACTGCATAATTGGGAGAGATATCCATAGAACTTGGCAGTGTCATCACACTGGCTCCCTAACCTGTAGGGAGAAGTCTATCCACACACCTCTTCCCCAGAAGTCTTTATCACTGGTTTTCTAGTTATATTCCTCCCAAATTCCTATCCAGACAGACCATTGACTAAAATCCACAAATTAGTGTAAGTCACACATCTGGCCATTTCTCCTTCCAGGCAAAATGTACACCTAGATTCATTGCCCAAAGTTCACACTAGTTCAGACTCTTCTGCCACTGGGGCTATCTGATCCAGCAGATACAATGGTACTTGTGTCAGTGGTAGTTACAGATGCTCTTTGGAGCCTCTGGCAGGCTCTTATAGGTCAATTCCAGCAGAGGCCTTTAGGATTTTGGAACAAGGTTCTGCTGTCATCTACAGATGACTACTTTCTCTTTGAAAAACAGCCCTTGGCCTGCTACTGGGCCTTCATGGAAACTGAATGCTTGGCCATGGGATACCAGGTCACCATGAAATCTGATTTGCCTATCAGACCCTGGGTGTTATCTGATCCACTGAGTCATGATATTGGATGTTCACAGCAACAGTCTATCATTAAATGGAAAGGTTATATACATGATTGAGCAAGGGCAGGTCCAGAGGGTACAACTAAATCACATGAAGATGTTGCCCAGATGCCCATAGCTTCTACTCCTGCCATATTGCCTTCTGCTTCTCTGCATGCACCTGTGGCCTTGTGGGTAAACTATATAATCCGCTGTCAGAGGAAGAGGAGGCTAATGTCTGGCTTAAGGATGGTTCTGTGTGTTATGCAGGTACTCCTACAAGTGGACAGCTGCAGCCTTACAGCCCCTTTCCAGGACGTTACAGCCCCTGAAGGACAATGGTGAAGGGAAATCTTTGCAGTGAACAGAACTTTGTTTGTTTGTTTGTTTGTTTGTTTTGAACAGAACTTTGGGCAGTGAATATAGGTGTACATTTTGTCTGGAAGCAGAAATGAGCAGATGTGTGACTAATACTGATTCATGGATTGTAGTCAATGGTCTGTCTGGATAGGAACTTGGGAGGAATATAACTGGCAAACTGGTGACAAAGATATCTGGGGAAGAAGTGTGTGGATAAGCTTCTCTATTTGGGTAAAGAATGTAAAAATATTTGTTTTCCGTGTAAGCACTCATGAAAAGGTAACCTCAGTAGAAGAGAACTTTAATGGTCAAGTGGATAAGATGACCCACTCTATAAACAGGAGACAATTTCCTTCTTTGGCCACCCCTGTCATTGCCCAATTGTCTCATGAAGTGAGTCCCCATGGTGACAGGGATGGAGGTTATACATGGGCTCAGCAACTCAGACTCCCACTCTTCAAGGCTGATCTGGCTACAGCCACAGCTGAATGCCCAATACGTCAGCAACAGAAATCACCATTCCTTGGAGTGATTCACCTGGCAGCAGGTTGATTATACTTTAGGATTTATGCTACTAATTCTGTTGGATCACTTCCATCATGGAAGGGACTGCACTTTGCCCTTACTGGGGTAAACACTTATTTTGGATATGTGTTTGCCTTCCCTATATATAACGCTTCTGCCAAAACTACCATGTGTGGACTCACAGAATGCCTTGTTCACCATCATAGAATTCCACATAGCATTACCTCTGGCTGAGGAACACAATTTATAGCCAAAGTAGTGAGGCAATGGGCTCATGATCTTGGAATTCACTGGTTTCCTCATCATCCAGAAACCGCTGGATTGCATAGAAAATTAGACTGGTCTTTTGAAGACACAGTGACAGTGCCATATAGATAGCAATACCTTTTCAGGCTGAGACAAAGTTCTTCAGAAGGCTGTTTATGCTTTGAATCAGCATCCACTATGAGGCACTGTATCTCCCATAGCTATGATTCACAGGATCAGGCACTAAAAGGTGGAAATGGGAATGGTACCACTCACTATTATCCCCACTGATCCATTAGCAAAAATTTTGTTTCCTCTTCCAATGACCTTATGCTCTGATGGCCTAGAAGTCTTAGTTCCAGAGGGAGGAAGGCTTGTATCAGGAAGCATAGGCAATACTATTGAACTGGAAGCTAAGACTTTCCCCTGGTCATTTTGGTCTCCTTGTGCCCCTGAGGAAACAAGCATAAAAGGGAGTCACAGTGTTGTCAGGGGTGATTGACCCAGATCATCAAGGGGAAATTGGACTACTACTCCACAGTGGAGGAAAGAAAGAACATATGTGGAGTGCAAGAGATCCTTTAGGACATCACCTAGTATTACTGTGCCTTGTTATTAAAGTCAAAGAGAAGCCACAACAAAATCCAGGTAGAATGAGAAGTGGTCCAGAACCTTCAGAAATGAAAATATGGGTCACTCCACCAGGGAAAGGACCAAGATCTGCTGAGGTTTTTGCTAAAGGCCAAGAGAATACAGAATGAGTAGTAGAAGAAGGTAGTTCTCAGTACCAGCTACAACCCCATGATTGGTTACAGAAACAAGGATTGTAATTATATTATTTCTCTCCTAATATTATTCCAGTATAATATAATGTTATTTCTCTCCTAATATTATTCCAGTATAATATAATGTTTATAGACTTAATACTGGTTCTTAAGGATTGTTAAATTTGTATTTTTTTGTCTTTTTTTTTTTGAGACAGGGTCTTACTATGTAGTTGAGGCTGGCCTTGAGCTCACTTTGTATCCTGGGCTGGCCTCGAACTCACAGCAATCCTCCTGCCTCAGCCTCCCAAGTGCTGGAATTATAGGCTTGAGCCACCACACCTGGCTAAATTTGTATTATAATGCTCAAGTTATGAAATGTTAAGAGTAATCATCAACCAAAGTAAACTTGCCTTCTATTCTGGGGAGGGAATTAGTGCATTTCCATTTATACACAAGATAATTATAACATTTGTTATGGTTATATCTAGATATCCCCACAAAGCCTCACACACTTTTAGATGGGGTTTTTACAGAGGTAGCTAAATCTAGAGTGTGTGATTGATTCATAGTGAAATGCTGGGATTAAGGGTGGTGGGACTGAGGATATGAGTACTATGCCCACCCTAGGGTAGGTAGTCTGCATACAATACAAGGGGCAGAAAAATGTTCTCCCTCCTTCTCTCTCTCTCTCTCCCCCTTAATCTCTGTCTCTGTCTCTGTCTCTGTCTCTGTCTCTGTCTCTGTCTCTCTCTCATTGTGTTTGCTATGTTCCACTACCATGAACTATTGTCTCTCTGCCATGTGCCTCTCTGCCTTGGAGCCAGCCAATTATAGACTGAAACCTCTACAAACTGTGAGCTGAATAAACGTTTCCTCATGTAGCCATGGGTGTCACGTATTTGTCTCGGCAACAAGAGAAATGTGACCAAGACAACATTTTAGGTTTAATTATGAGCTTATCTTTGTATGTAGAGACTGGTTTAAAGAAACGTGTCTGGTTGTCAAGTTCACAAGGTGTGGACTGTGATGGTTGATTGATTGTGTCAACCTGAGTCAGAGAAGCTCAACTAAATTGGCTCAGGAATTCCACACCCCTCAAGGTGTGGAAGATCTACTCTAGGGCACCTTGTCACCTGGATGGTATAAAGTTGAAATGAAGAAGGATGGATCTGCTTCTGTTTCTTCAGAGGATCCCCAGTCTTTGCCTTCACCATGGGCATCATCTCCTGACTTCCAACCCAGAGTCTTCAGCTTCCAGTGCAAATCCTTCAGCCTTCTGAGATAGGTGTTTCAGTCCTTCATCACATACCCATCAGCTGCCTCATACAGAATTGCACAGGAGACTGAAGTGAGCTCCAGAACTGCAAGAGAATCCTTTGCTCCACAATGTGCACAGAGACCCTCTG